GAAGGGTGAACGCAAGCTGCTCCTGCCACTTTCGACACGATTTTTCAATGATGACAAACTGCTTCGGCTCGCCAAGCCATTAACCGAGATTTACGCGGCATTCACCAGGTTCATACGTCAAAATTCAGGGCAAAACATAACATCGGCATGTCTTAACAGACCACCGACTTCGCCCGTTCTAGGCAACTTCCTTGTACGGCATACGGAACATTACCGTTTCGCGATGTGGTGGACGGTGTCAAAAGCAGGTGACGCACCTGTATCGGTTTTGGAGATCCTGGGACGGCAGACGCTGACAGAAGTCGTCCTGGTACTGGGTGATGCTGCCGCCCAGAGTGCCGAACTCAGCCACCCTGTCCAGGATGTGCGATGACTGGCACATATCGTCCATGAATCTCTGGTAGTAGCTCAACTTCTCAGCTGTGGATGGAAGCATGCAACCACTGGCCTCAGAACCAGATTCACCACTCATTTACGAACGGCATCACTGCAATGGACACTGCCAGTCGCAAAATTTGCCAACAAAGTGAGGTGTAACTGACATTCAGTTCTTTACGCCGGGAAATATAGCAAACTACATTCGTGGAAACTTGCTCATTGTTTTTCACGCCACATGTTCCTTATGAGAAAGATGCTCTTATTTCACTCCCACATTACCCTTCAGGTGGCAACCTCCTTGCGCACCACGCTGCCACATCGCCCTCCAAGTGAGCTTACCTTTAGCGTTGCCGATCAGACCGCAGCCCTCATGGGCACCACACCCGACGCTACCCATAAAGCCGACGCATTACCGCAGTACAGCATTTATTATCACTGCATTACCGCTTAGGCTGCAAATGTCATATCCGGTACCTCTCGCATTATTTGTCAGGGTGCCACCCACGTTTGCAGCACCTCCTCGCATTGCCCCCGAAGTCCAAGCCCATCTCCCACCATTCGATCACATTACCCATCTAGCCATAACCACACAGGATAGGCTTGTAGCCTATCCTTGGGCCGCACCCCACTCATCCATCGCACCGTCACATCACGCCTCTGGCCACAACGCTCCTGTCCATCACGTCCTCGCACTCTTACAACAGCCTGTGGCCGCAGACCTGCTGAACTTCGCACCCGCACGTCACTCCCGTACCCCCACCGGCTGCGGCCCCGGCGTGCGGCACTCACCTCGCCTCGCCCGGACGCCGGGGCCGTGGGGGCTCTTGAAGTCGTACCGGGTGACCGACTCGCCCCAGGCGGGCGTGCGCACCGGGTCCATGCTGCTCCGCTGCGGCGGGCACACCGAGCCGTACCGGTCCTCGTCCACCACCTGCAGGCCGTCCCTATCGTGGTCACGACCGAAGGATCCCAGGTTCGAGACTCAGCTGAGGCCGCTGTTCAGAATGAACGGCACTGGCGACGCGAATGACCGTAGCAGCTGCCCGAGTGGCGGCGAGGACAGCACGGGACATTCCTCCTCAGCGCATCAGCGTTACAGGTATACGGCTACCGTATACATTTGGCAGAACGCCAATTGAAGCACACGTGCATAAGTGCGCCAACTAAAACACGTGTGCGTAGGCATAAGCGCGACTTGGCCTGTCAGTCTCCCAGCCACCAGCAGCTAATACCATTCATGCGCAAAAACGGGTATCTACGGCCGGTTTTATGGGCTTTGGTGGTGCTATCCTCCCTGAATGCCAATGCAGCTGTGAGGTCATTGTCGCGTCGCCCTGATCGTAGGATATCACATGTAAATCAGAATAGTGCTGAAGGCGCTACGAGTATAATATCAAAGCACTGACAGAAGCCAGGATAAACACCCTCCCGCATAGGCTAATGTTCGGCTGCATGTTTTGGCCGCCTGCGTGCGCAGACACCGTGACCCTCCATCACGTAAGCATTGCGATCGCCGTACCAATCACCACGACTGCTGCGCTTGGTGTGCGTCTAAGCTATTGCTGTCCAGTTATACAATAGTGAAATGAATTTCGCAGGCCTTTCCCCAGAAGAGGCCCACAAAATTTCCACCATGCCAACAAGATTCCAGCAACACTCACAACAACATTCACTGCTCCCAACTAGTCGGCACCAATAGGAAGGGGCTGTGGCGTAGCATACAGAGCAAAGTGATATCAATCACAAGGGACGTCGAAGAGTATAAGCTGTGCCATGCAGCGATGCAATGAGCACGCAGATATTTTAGGTAAATATTCACGCAGAAAATCACGCCATTTCCTCATGCTTTTTATGCAGTCGATTTCTGTGCCGACCAGTCACTCTTTCCGCAGCAATTTTCGCAAACGGTTTTGACCTCGACATGCCGGCTGCTACAGCTGGTATCCTATGTGATGTACCAGCATTGTTGTGAAGCATGCGTAATAAACCGATATAAGGCGCGGTGAAGCCGAATCCCTCATGGTCTGCTTGTTCGGCTGTTTGGATTACAGCTCTTTCAGGTGGTCATAACCTTTCAGAACTATGGCATGAAGGAAAATGGATAACCGTGGGTCAAGACTACATTCGCCCAGGACGCATCCGCCGAGGCTTTATCCGCATAGGGACCTCTTTGCGGGGTGTGTGCTCGGACGGGGGGGGGGGCACCACCTGCTCGTGGCTGGCGCCTGCACCCTGTCGCGGACAAGCAGGGCGCCGGGAAGATGCAAGGGAAGAGAGAGAGAGAGAGAGAGAGAGAGAGAGAGAGAGAGGAGAGAGAGAGAGAGAGAGAGAGAGAGAGAGAGAGAGAGAGAGAGAGAGAGAGAGAGAGAGAGGAGAGAGAGAGAGAGAGAGAGAGAGAGAGAGAGAGAGAGAAGAGAGGAGAGAGAGAGAGAGAGAGAGAGAGAGAGAGAGAGAGAGAGAGAGAGAGAGAGAGAGAGAGAGAGGAGAGAGAGAGAGAGAGGAGAGAGAGAGAGAGAGAGAGAGAGAGGAGAGAGAGAGGAGAGAGAAGAGAGAGAGAGAGAGAGAGAGAGAGAGAGAGAGAGGAGAGAGAGAGAGAGAGAGAGAGAAGAGAGAGAGAGAGAGAGAGAGAGAGAGAGAGAGAGAGAGAGAGAGAGAGAGAGAGAGGAGAGAGAGAGAGAGAGAGGAGAGAGAGAGAGAGAGAGAGAGAG